ATGACTTTCAATTTGAACAAAATATTCTTTACAATGATTAGGATAAAGAAATAAGTATTATTATTTAAATTCCGTACATTGTTAAATTGCATAGTGAAATGTAATAGGTACATGTTTATGATATTTATATTCATTTTGAAACGATATTTACGGATGCATTACAWAGAAATTAACCTATTAACATTGAAAATATCTGTGGAGCATAAAAAAACAACTAAGTTTTCAAAATAAAATTCAACAGATGTATAACTACTTAAACAAAATCTATTTTAATTTATTTATATTATTTATACATCTTCAACATTGTTTTTGAAATTTCAGTAGAGTTTCTTAAGTTTTTAACTAAATATTATTAAATATTTTCGAAACACTAAGAAAGTAACTCCATAAGCACGCATTTTTATAAAACCACTATGATAAAACCGAAAAATTGTTGTAAGTTACAGAAAAAAAAAATATAATCGATAATCAAACTAAAATAATTTTAACAAAAATCTCACTGTAATTCATAATAAAGATARGTATTTTAGTTTCGAATTAAAATAAATTTAAAACCAGTAATTTATTAGAAGTTTTTTTATTGCCTTTGTATATAACCAGGGCTGGACTAGCCCTTGAATCCACCTTGGGCTGAACAATCTTACCAGCCCTACCAAAGTGGAATTATTTTACATTCATATTACATTTATTTTAATCGGAGTTTAATATAATACAAAATCGGTTACTCTAAACACTGGCATTCCCTTAACGCAATGATGCGCATCCTTTTTAATCATAACATCCCTCGAATTAATTTATTTCGTTGAGATGACCTGCTTTCTACCAATATTACGTAAGTACTATAATTTTTTCGTTTGGTGTTAAATTGTTTGCGAAATCTTAATTAAAATTCTGTGACCCGGTAGCGCGTCACTGCCTTAACGCCATAATACAGCTTTTTAGGAACTTATCATGAACAATTCTGGGTTAGCCTATTKACTAACTTATTTTTTTAGCAGTAGTTTACAACTAATACGTTTAGATATGTTTACGTGACACCTAATATCTAGGTAGGTAGTAATATAATCAAAGTTCAATATGCAGAACGATGGGTGGTCCCAAGCATCCTTCCCACAACCTAAATCTTCAACTTGGTATTATTAACTCTATTCTACCGATTAACGATACCAATGTCACCACAATTATTAAACTCCCATCCAAAACACAGCTTATAAATAAATTATAATTCTTAATACAATCATCTAATACCTATACAGTATACATCTTTAAGAACCATCAATAACAGTATTTTTCTTTTTATGCCTATTTCCTCATTTGCAMCTTAATATTTTAGACTAATAATCTGTGATGTAGAAGCTTTTATTTAATAAAAATAATAATAATAGGTTTTTTTGGGGTGGGAGGGGGGGACTCGCGGCAACATAGGCTATTGGGTGTGCGATGGTACGGCAAGGGTTATTTTTGTTTGTAGGTTTTAAGTTGGTGGGGTTGTAACACGTGTTTGTGTATGTGTGGCAAGGATATGTTGCTAAAAATCTCGGGTAGTCACCCATCCGGGAACTAGCAACTTTGGCTGGTACGGAATACTCAGTGCGTTTTCGCAGATTGACTGTACAGCCTCACCAATCCACAATAAGTGGTACCTATATAACACGTATAACACAAAATAGGTACTGCACTACATATTATGTAATATTCACAGTAAATATTTTATTATATACTTATATAATTTAACTATTAATAAAGAAAGCATTGAAAATAATTTAAAATAGAACATTTAACTTATACAAAGATATTTTTAATATATGCAAGTTTTTGAATTTGTCACATAGGTATAACGAAATAGTAGATTATCTAATCATTGTAGCTAAAACAAAAGAATGTATTTAAATTCTAAAATGGATACAATACTATTATGCCATATTTAAAAAATAACATTATGTACCTACCTATGTCTTTATATATCTAATGCACTATACACGACTATATTCATATGCGTTCATTCATCGCAGAGTTAAAGATTATAATTAATTATGCACAACAAAAAATAATAAGTTCACTTTTGTGCACAAAATTCCCTTTAAAACGATTAATCATAATGTTATGTGTAGATATTCGTAATGTAATTTAAATATATGATTAGTAGAAGATAAGATTATTTAACACATATTATTTACTAAAAATTGTTTTAACTTAAAGTCATTGGAATAAACAAATTTACCTAGACCATTGACTAAATATACAATGACATTACAGAGTAGGTAGGTATCTTAGATTGTTCGGACTCGGTCTAATTATCTACTATTGCAAACTATCGAGATCCAATTATCTCAACATTTAATATTTTAATGTATCAGCTAGGCTCTTCCATGAATATTTATATTTGGTTATATATCTTATACGACCGAGATGTAGTATGCACATTGCACATTGCGGCTATACGAACTATAGCTTATTTAATTAATTTGATAATTATTAACAGTGTTATCATTAAAATCAGATAAGATTATCAATTAAATTTTACAAGAAAACTTATTTATTACCACATTAAATATTTTTATTTTAATTGATGATTGAAGATATAAATCATAAAAGCTGAATTATGATAAACTCATAGTCGCCCGCAGAAATTTTTCTAGGGGGGGGGGGCAATGTTAGGATTTCAGGATAAATATTATAATTGTACTAGGTGTTTTGAAATAATAACCTTTTTTATTATACTCGTATACAATATATTTTATTTTATTATATTACAACTTATTTTATACTTTAAATTTGTTGTATAGTATATAGTAATTTATCTTAAAACATTAAATTTAAAAAAATATTTTGAAAAAGCCAGGGTGGAAATGCCCCAGCTTGCACCCCCCTGCGGTGCCTATGGATAAACTCATATTTATATAAACATTTATTCATATTTTTAATGATATATGATTACATTTATATGGTAATTGTTTCAAGTTTATAAGTAGCTAAGATTATTATAGCTATTAATGATAAATAAATTGCTTAAAATATTATTCAAAACATTTTCGTTCGTTTTTGATACAGTATGGTATGTTAAAAACTAGACAACTTAGAGTCAGATCAATAATAATAATAAAATGATTACAATTCAAATAAATTTAAAATAAAATATTTTTTAAATTGTAATCATTAAAAAATAAAAGAAAAAATAATAAATATGTCTTGAAATTTTTTTTAAATAAAACGTTTGCAAACATAAATGAAAATTAATAATTATTTTTTGTTGTTAAATGATAAATAATAATTTTCATTGTATAATTGTTTAATTTAGCGGGCACTTATAATATTGCTTCTATCAATTGTTTTTGCTGTTGCTGAATCACCATATGGTGGTGGAAGTAGCAACAGCAATGGAAATGGTAGAAATGGAGGATATGGAGGCAAAGGACAATACGGTGGAGGAACTGGTAGTGGAGTAGGATCATCATCAGCCAGCCCGTTTTTTAGTGGTGCCAATCAATATGGATCTCAATCCGGTTTATCTGGAGCAGCCAACAACCGTTATTCTTCATTTGGATCTAAATTTGGAGGTAACAAAGGAAGCTATAGTGGATCTAGTTCTCGTAACAATGGTCGATACGGTAGTGGATCGACAAGTGGTTATGGAAGTGGTTCTTCAGGTAGTCTAGGTGGTACTGGAAGATCAACTGGAGGTTATGGAGGTGGATCTTCGGGAAGTTATTCGGGTGGTTCACCAAGTAGTTACGGAAGTGGTTCATCGGGTAGCTTAGGTAGTCCTATTGGATCAACTGGAACTTATGGAACCGGCTCTTCAGGAGGTTTTGGYAGTGGATCATCCGGAAGCTATGGAGGAGGATCTTTAGGAAGCTCCGGTAGTGGATCATCAGGAAGCTATGGAGGAGGATCGTCAGGAAGCTTCGGCAGTGGATCATCTGGAAGCTATGGAGGATCGTCAGGAGGCTTCGGCAGTGGATCATCTGGAAGCTATGGAAGTGGGTCCTCTGGAAGTTATGGAGGAGGTTCTTCGGGTGGCCTTGGTAGTGGATCATCAGGAAGCTATGGAGGAGGATCATCAGGAGGCTTCGGCAGTGGATCATCAGGAAACTACGGTGGAGGATCGTCAGGAGGCTTCGGCAGTGGATCATCGGGAAGTTATGGAAGTGGATCCTCTGGAAGTTATGGAAGTGGTGGAGGAGGCCTTGGTGGAGCATCTTCAGGAAATAATGATGGTTATGGAGCTGGAGGTTCTGGATCGTATGACCAACTTGGAGGAGCAAATGGTAATGGACTTGGTGGATCAGGAAACGATCCTCTTTCGGTAAGTTTTTACATAACAAATATAACTTTAATTTGATAAATATTACTATACAATTATTATTATTATCGTTATTATTATTTGTATAATAAAAATATATTATTTATTTTTACAAATTATTTTATCCAATAATAATTAACAATAAAATTATCCTATGAATAATCCGTGAATTAGTAATTACTAAGTAGTACTTAGTAGTTGGTATAGTAGTTTTGTGAAATTTTTACTACTCAGARTAGTTTATTTGAGATATTATGTAAAAAATGATTTTTATGTATTGCATATTTTTATTCTACAAAATAGAAGTTATTGAACTGAATGACTGAATTCTTCAGTATCCATTAATTTCTTTCCAAATTATTCTTAATCTGTTCTACCACTACTACTACTACTACTACTACTATTTGTTGTTTTTAGKAGTACTGTAATTGATACTAAATAATAAAATAATCAAACTTAACTAAACCTAGAAAATATTAAAATAATAAGTTAATCACCAAAATGTAAAATTAAAAATTAAAAAATATGCAATAATTTATTATATATAATATAAAATATTCAATATCATATGCTTATGCATATTTAATTGAATTTTTTTAAATCATTAAGTCTAATTTATAAGTTATATTTTATATAGGAACCAGCAAATTATGAATTTTCCTATGAAGTGAATGCGCCAGAATCCGGTGCTATTTTTGGTCATAAAGAAAGTCGCCAAGGTGAAGAAGCTACTGGAGTGTATCATGTACTACTACCTGATGGTCGAACACAAATTGTTGAATACGAAGCTGATGAAGATGGATACAAGCCTAAAATTACATATACTGACCCAGTAGGAGGATATGCTGGTGATCGTCAATCTGGAAATGGCTATGGTGGAAATGGGGGCTTTGGTGGTTCAGGAAGTTTAGGGGGAAGTGGTAGTAATCTAGGAGGTCTTTACAATAATTTTAATGGTGGTGGATCTAATAACAATGGTGCTGCGTATGGTAGTTCAAGTGGTAGTATCGGTAGCAAATATGGTGGATCAGGCAGTTCCAGTGGAAGTGGTTTAGGAGGTGGATATGGTGGTTCCGGTGGATCAAGTGGTGGCTTAGGAAGTAGCTATGGAGGATCGGGAAGTTCAAACGGTGGTCTAGGAGGTGGATATGGTGGTTCCGGTGGATCAAGTGGTGGCCTAGGAAGTAGC